TCAAATCTGAAATAAGTCATTAAACCGTCAACCTTTATAGACAAATTATACTTATATCAAGTCCAAATATCCACTTATATCAAGACAAATCAACTTGTATAACAACAATTCAGAGAACAACACTCGCAGCACAATTAGTAGGTAGGCTATAACCTGTAATATTTGATCAGTAACATTAACTATGATCGGTACACAATAGTTACTGTTCAAGTTTAATCATTTACCTATTATACAGTACAGCATTAATTTAGCACAAAATTACTGGCAAAATACTATATTTAAGTTGAACTGAACCCCCTCCCCCCTAAAAATACCCCATTTGTTGGTACAGTTTCCTGCCTTTTCCAGTATTGTATTTTTAAAACGTATATACAGTACACTCGCACCGAGCGCGAGGTGGCCGACGGGAAGTGATATTGCAAGTGTCTCGAACCCCTCCGTGCCAGCAAGCTGGGGCCGAGGCAGGCATTGCATGGTATGTCTGGCAGCGAGAAAATAATTTTAGGAGAAAAGTCAGAAGCCAGCCAGCATTAAAGACTTCACCAGTTGCCCTACATACACAATTACCAAGATTTAAATCGTGTAGTACCTTAGTATGAAATCAAACCATTTCTTACAAATGCTGGAGATTAAGGATTTAGGGCTGCTTATTTTTGGAAAATCAATATTTTGACAACGTGAAAAACTAACTTTCAGATCAAAGATGGTCTACATATTTAAGAATAATACCCTGTATCTAAAGGCTTTTAAACCATGTTAAAAGATATTTAAAAAATATGTAATTATCAAAATAAGTTAATTACTTCTATGAAGATGAACAAATCTCCTTAAAACAAAACTAAAACCACAACGCATAGCTACAGTACTGTAGGCCTACTATAAGTTAAGTAGCAGAACAAGCTTCCGACGCAGTAAATAACAGTCTCATAATCTAGAAACTAACAGTCTGTACTGGCTTCACGGTCCTCGAATGAATAATATTGTAACTAAAAATTAAGTAATGTAGTCTTTGTACAACTGTAATGCAATAAAATAAGAACACACATCTACAGTACGTCTCTATAGCCAAAATATATACCAAATCTTGTGAAGTACGTCCGAATAAACACTTAAAATATTTAACATTAAATCTTCGTGAACATGAAATTAACCACAATTAACACATACCGCATAGGAACAGGGTTGCCACATGTACGACAAGCTTCACGGCCAAATTTTTGGATGGAAAGCACAAAGATATTTTTGCAATCCACACAAAATAAAAATCTCCCCCACAATATGCACTTAAAATGTCGCAATCAAACAAAATTTTCACTTATAATTCAGAGCCCAATAATTACATAAACATAATATCTGTAATCTACAGTGAAGATTAACCATAAACTCAAATGGTGGTGGAGCATGATAATGGTGGAGTCCAGTTCGTCACCGTCCCCTGGTTCTTCCTTCTCGTACGTGATTGCAGAGTTAAATAGCTCCACCATGTGTGGTGTTACTTTCAAATCTGCAACATTTTCCTTGGAACTGGAGCATTTTCACTTCCATCACGGGCTATACTAACACAGACGAATTTTTCTTCCCATAATTTGTTATATTTTCTACCACTGTCGTAAGACACTTTGCAAAAACTAATCATTTTGAAAACTATCAATCAGAATTTCAGAAAGTAACTCAGATGGCTTTGTAAACTATAAAGCAGGGGTTCTCAACCAGGGTGAATTTCCCCCCTCAGGTTTTCAGAGACGGGGGAAAACTGATACTAATATGGAAATAATAAAGGATTTTCAGTATTATATGCATATTATTTGGAATGCAATTTTTGAGGCAGACAATCTTGGAAAGGAGGGGGGAATGACATTCTGACATATGGTGAAAAGAGTGCATGGAGCAAACAAGGTTGAGAACCACTGCTATAAAGCTTAACCCATATGCTGGACACGTTTCAATTGAGAAATTTGAAAATCTGTTAGACATGTCTTCAAAATCCACTAGATGAGGTATTAACACAAAATTCGGCCAAATAGTTTGCCCGTCACCAACCACTTTCCACGGCCGAAGTAGAAAAATTTGACAACTAGTCTTAGCGAGTCCCAGAGATAACTGATTCGAGTAAGTGACAGCAACAACGTCGTGGACCCCCCTCCTTCTTCTTCTACACTGTAATACATCGTAACATATTAAACCACACACACTTTGGCTTCTACATTAGATATAATTACTTTGCCTAAACTACTATTCATGTAGCCTTACCACAGTAGTAGTATAAAATCTAACCTTACATGAGCCACTCTTTCTATAATAATTAAATATCCATTCTTGAAACTTATGAATACAACAAATTTTGCTCATAATTCTCTTCCAACAGGTTATGCAAGTCAGGAACATTGTACAACAATAGTTATGCTCACCTTTATAAGACTTCAGCCAATGTCAAATAGCCAAGAATGCTCTTCCACCTCCCACACACTTCTGAAATAAAAAATAAAAACGTCAACATTTATAGAAAAATTATTAAAATTTACCCTTGTACAAGACTTTCTTTTTTCCCCAAAAATGTATCGCAAATTACCCTTCGTCTAATGCGCCGTACGCGTAGGTGACTAGCTAGCAAGTCTGAGACGAGCAGTAGTCTACTAAGCACAAACATTACGTTCCTAATATTACTGAAAAACAAACAAAATTATCACAAACTTACGGCAAATTGGACGAAGATGTAAATAATGGCTTAAAAGCAGAGGGAACCTCACAGTATTCACCAATAAAACTATTTCTTTTTAACTATGGTAAATTTAATTTATGCTCACCTGTATATTGTATATAAAGGCTTCAGCCAAGGTCAAATACCCTACAAAGGTCATCCACCTCCCACTCAAATCTGAAATAAGTCATTAAGCGTCAACCTTTGGAATGGTATATACTTACTTATCAAGTCCAAACTCATATATCAGAACAAATCGCTTCAATTCGAAGAACAACCCTCCTTTGGTAAGTAGGTATAACACCAATATTTGATCACCTAACATTAACTATAATTCGATTTTAATGATTACTGTTCGATTAAATCATTTACCTATTATACCGGTACAGCATTAATTTAGCACAAAATTGCTGGCAAAAATACTATATTTAAGTTGAGACTGACCCCCCTAAAAATACCCCATTTGTTGGTACAGTTCCTGCCTTTTCCAGTATTGTATTTTTAAAACGTATATACACTCGCACCGAGCGCGAGGTGGCCGACGGGAAGTGATATTGCAAGTGTTCTCGAACCCCTCCGTGCCAGCAAGCTGGGGCCGAGGCAGGCATTGCATGGTATGTCTGGCAGCGTAGGAAGACGAGAGGAAAAGTCAGTCAGCCAGCATTAAAAGAGTTCACCAGTTGCCCTCATATTAACACAATTACCAAGATTTAAAATCGTGTAAAGTACCTTAGTATGAAATTTAAACTACTTTCTTACAAATGCTGGAGACTAAGGGATTTAGGTCAAGCTTATTTTTGGAAAAATCAATATTTTGACAACGTGAAAACTAACTTCTTCGTATCGTAAAGATGGTCTACATATTTAAGAATACCCTGTATCTATAAAGGCTTTTTAAAACCTACAAGCAAAGCATACTTAAAATATGTAATTATTTCAAAATAAGTTAACAATTACTCTATTTTTTTTTTAAAGATGAACAAATCCTTAAACAAAACTAAAACCACAACGACAGCTACAGTACTGTAGGCCTACTATAAGTTATAGCAGAATGTTTCCGATTTTGTGCAACAACAGTTCCGTTAACGGAAACTAACAGTCTCGTGTACTCGTCTTCACGGTCCTCGAATGAATAATATTGTAACTAAAAATTAAGTAATGTAGTCTTTGTACAACTGTAATGCAATAAAATAAGAACACACATCTACAGTACGTCTCTATAGCCAAAATATATACCAAATCTTGTGAAGTACGTCCGAATAAACACTTAAAATATTTAACATTAAATCTTCGTGAACATGAAATTAACCACAATTAACACATACCGCATAGGAACAGGGTTGCCACATGTACGACAAGCTTCACTGCCAAATCTTTTTGGATGGAAAGCACAAAGATATTTTTGCAATCCACACAAAATAAAAATCTCCCCCACAATATGCACTTAAAATGTCGCAATCAAACAAAATTTTCACTTATAATTCAGAGCCCAATAATTACATAAACATAATATCTGTAATCTACAGTGAAGATTAACCATAAACTCAAATGGTGGTGGAGCATGATAATGGTGGAGTCCAGTTCGTCACCGTCCCCTGGTTCTTCCTTCTCGTACGTGATTGCAGAGTTAAATAGCTCCACCATGTGTGGTGTTACTTTCAAATCTGCAACATTTTCCTTGGAACTGGAGCATTTTCACTTCCATCACGGGCTATACTAACACAGACGAATTTTTCTTCCCATAATTTGTTATATTTTCTACCACTGTCGTAAGACACTTTGCAAAAACTAATCATTTTGAAAACTATCAATCAGAATTTCAGAAAGTAACTCAGATGGCTTTGTAAACTATAAAGCAGGGGTTCTCAACCAGGGTGAATTTCCCCCCTCAGGTTTTCAGAGACGGGGGAAAACTGATACTAATATGGAAATAATAAAGGATTTTCAGTATTATATGCATATTATTTGGAATGCAATTTTTGAGGCAGACAATCTTGGAAAGGAGGGGGGAATGACATTCTGACATATGGTGAAAAGAGTGCATGGAGCAAACAAGGTTGAGAACCACTGCTATAAAGCTTAACCCATATGCTGGACACGTTTCAATTGAGAAATTTGAAAATCTGTTAGACATGTCTTCAAAATCCACTAGATGAGGTATTAACACAAAATTCGGCCAAATAGTTTGCCCGTCACCAACCACTTTCCACGGCCGAAGTAGAAAAATTTGACAACTAGTCTTAGCGAGTCCCAGAGATAACTGATTCGAGTAAGTGACAGCAACAACGTCGTGGACCCCCCTCCTTCTTCTTCTACACTGTAATACATCGTAACATATTAAACCACACACACTTTGGCTTCTACATTAGATATAATTACTTTGCCTAAACTACTATTCATGTAGCCTTACCACAGTAGTAGTATAAAATCTAACCTTACATGAGCCACTCTTTCTATAATAATTAAATATCCATTCTTGAAACTTATGAATACAACAAATTTTGCTCATAATTCTCTTCCAACAGGTTATGCAAGTCAGGAACATTGTACAACAATAGTTATGCTCACCTTTATAAGACTTCAGCCAATGTCAAATAGCCAAGAATGCTCTTCCACCTCCCACACACTTCTGAAATAAAAAATAAAAACGTCAACATTTATAGAAAAATTATTAAAATTTACCCTTGTACAAGACTTTCTTTTTTCCCCAAAAATGTATCGCAAATTACCCTTCGTCTAATGCGCCGTACGCGTAGGTGACTAGCTAGCAAGTCTGAGACGAGCAGTAGTCTACTAAGCACAAACATTACGTTCCTAATATTACTGAAAAACAAACAAAATTATCACAAACTTACGGCAAATTGGACGAAGATGTAAATAATGGCTTAAAAGCAGAGGGAACCTCACAGTATTCACCAATAAAACTATTTCTTTTTAACTATGGTAAATTTAATTTATGCTCACCTGTATATTGTATATAAAGGCTTCAGCCAAGGTCAAATACCCTACAAAGGTCATCCACCTCCCACTCAAATCTGAAATAAGTCATTAAACCGTCAACCTTTATAGACCAATTATACTTATATCAAGTCCAAATATCCACTTATATCAGAACAAATCAACTTGTATAACAACAATTCAGAGAACAACCCTCACAGCACAATTAGTAGGTATAACCTGTAATATTTGATCACTAACATTAACTATGATCGGTACACAATAGTTACTGTTCAAATTTAATCATTTACCTATTATACAGTACAGCATTAATTTAGCACAAAATTACTGGCAAAATACTATATTTAAGTTGAACTGAACCCCCTCCCCCCTAAAAATACCCCATTTGTTGGTACAGTTCCTGCCTTTTCCAGTATTGTATTTTTAAAACGTATATACACTCGCACCGAGCGCGAGGTGGCCGACGGGAAGTGATATTGCAAGTGTTCTCGAACCCCTCCGTGCCAGCAAGCTGGGGCCGAGGCAGGCATTGCATGGTATGTCTGGCAGCGTAGGAAGACGAGAGGAAAAGTCAGTCAGCCAGCATTAAAAGAGTTCACCAGTTGCCCTCATATTAACACAATTACCAAGATTTAAAATCGTGTAAAGTACCTTAGTATGAAATTTAAACTACTTTCTTACAAATGCTGGAGACTAAGGGATTTAGGTCAAGCTTATTTTTGGAAAAATCAATATTTTGACAACGTGAAAACTAACTTCTTCGTATCGTAAAGATGGTCTACATATTTAAGAATACCCTGTATCTATAAAGGCTTTTTAAAACCTACAAGCAAAGCATACTTTAAATATGTAATTATTTCAAAATAAGTTAACAATTACTCTAATTTTTTTTTAAAGGTGAACAAATCCTTAAACAAAACTAAAACCACAACAACAGCTACAGTACTGTAGGCCTACTTTAAGTTATAGCAGAATGTTTCCGATTTTGTGCAACAACA